GGACCACACAACGAATGGCCTTTTGTGACTGGATTCTTTCACTCAGCATAATGTTTTCAAGGTTCACCTAGAAACCATGTATCAGTACTGTATTCCTTTTTACAGATTCCTTTGTATAGATATGACATTTTGTTTACTCATTCATCAGTTGATGGACTTTTGGGTTGTTTCCATACTTTGGTTATTATGAATAAGGCTGCTATAAATATTCATGTACAAGCCTTTGTGTGGACATATGTTTGCATTTTCTTTGGTATATATACCTCTATCACATATGTCTTATTTATTTGGTTAATCTACTGCTGGGTTATATGATAACTCTATGTTCAACATTTTGAGAAACTGCCAAACTGTTTCTCAAGTGAACAGGGTTGGATATTTATTTTAAACACGTTTAAATAGTTGTCATCATTTTAAATAATTGTTTAGTTTGAAAATGACTGTTTTACAGCTTCTGCAATATAAAGTTGCTGTATCCTGAGGCTGTTCAGAACAACATATACTGGATTTTGTCACATGCGCCCAGGGTAGGAAAAAAATGAAATTTAAATCCTATTTGTTTCTTACCGTTTTTAATTTCTGTTAATATATGGTTTTGTTTTTTGTTTTTGAGACCGAGTCTTGCTCTGTCACCCAGGCTGAAGTACAGTGGCATGATCTCGGCTCACTGCAACCTCTGCCTACTGGGTTCACAAGATTCTCCTACCTCAGCCTCATGAGTAGCTGGGATTACAGGACCCCACCACCACACCTGGCTAATTTTTGTATTTTTAGTAGAGATAGGGTTTTGCCATATTGGCCAGGCTGGCCTCGAACTTCCGACCTCAGCTGATCCACCCACCAAAGCCTCCTAAACTGCTGGGATTACAGGCACGAGCCACCACAACTGGCCTGTTTGTGTATTTCAAAGGCACATATTGTATTCATATATTAGTGCACTCATATAATTTTTTTGAATCACAAAGTTAAAGCAGCTCAAGTTTGAGGGAGTTTTAAAAAATTACTATTTTTTTAAAAATCACTGTATCTCTATCAAGTGGCTGCACTGACTGGCAACTAATAGTGAAGCTTGCATGGGAAGCCTTTACAAATTTCATGGGAGCTTATACAAATTGCTGCACTGAGATGATAAGAACCCCATGAGCCTCCTGAACCCTTCAGTCTTTTATCCTTGGTTCCATAAGATGCTTCTTCCCAACCAGGGCACCAGGGCAATCTAGCAAGTCCTCAAAGAAAACTGTAAGGTAAATGAACATGCTTAAGTAGAGAAAAAGCTTAAAGGAGGCTTATTTTCTTCCATTCACACATTAACTCCTGCTCATTCTTTAATACTCCTTTGCTTAGGCATCCCTTCTCCCACCTTCCCAGTCACCCTGTCCAGTTCTCAACCCAGATCCTCAGATGAGCGTGGCTGCTGCCTCTCCTATGTGTACCCATAAAAACCCTTGTTTATTTCTATCTAAGCATTCAGTAAACAGCATTGACATTGTTTTCTCTGGATCCATGTCACCAGATAGTGATCCCATTGCGGGCAGGACTCAGTTTTTTTTTTTTTTTTTTTTTTTTTTTTTGAGACGGAGTTTCGCTCTTGTTACCCAGGCTGGAGTGCAATGGCGCGATCTCGGCTCATCGCAACCTCCGCCTCCTGGGTTCAGGCAATTCTCCTGCCTCAGCCTCCTGAGTAGCTGGGACTACAGGCACGCGCCACCATGCCCAGCTAATTTTTTGTTTTTTTGTTTTTTTTTAGTAGAGACGGGGTTTCACCATGTTGACTAAGATGGTCTCGATCTCTTGACATCGTGATCCACCCGCCTCGGCCTTCCAAAGTGCTGGGATTACAGGCTTGAGCCACCGCGCCCGGCCTCAGTTTTGTTCATCTCTATGTCACTGGCTCCAAGCACGGTGCTTAATGGAGAGAGTACACAGCATGTCCTAATAAATCCATGAATGACTTCAAAATAATGACATTCTGCCTCAAGTAGGCCAGACTTACAGCAACCCCTCACAGGTCCCAGTCAGTTTAGAGGTTTATTTTGCCAAGGTTGAGGACACACATGGGAAAAAGGATCTGTAGCCCACACTTTTTCCAAAGAGGATTTTGAGGGCTTCAGTATTTAAAGGGGAAAGTGAGGGTAGGAGAGGTAGGGGTGGTTCATCATATACAATGAATGACTGATAGAACGAAGTGTGAAAGGAAAATAAGATGTCAGACCCCAAACTTACTATGCCATAGGAAATAGTGAAGCTTTGAAACTCAGTCATGCAAAAAAAAAAAAAAAACCTGCCTTTCCTTTTGTTCCTAAACACAGCTGCAAGACAGAAGATTACATAGCTCCTCAGTTGGCCTCCCTAACCTTGACAATATAAATTAACAGCTTATCTTCACAGATACAGCACAAAGACTAGAAATCATCCCTCTGCCCACCCTACACATATGCATATTTACTGAGTCCAGACAAATGCATAATTGACTGTTCCTCTACCCCATTTCACCTGTAACAAACGTGGATTCAGTAAGCACTAATCAAAGCCTCACAAGAATGTGACCACTTACTACCTACACAACTTTCTGCTTTTTTTTTCCCTCTACCCCTACCCCTCCTACCCTCACTTTCCCCTTTAAATACTGAAGCCCTCAAAATCCTCTTTGGAAAAAGTGTGGGCTACAGATCCTACTGTGACTTGTCTCCTTTTTCCCATGTGTGTCCTCAAACTTGGCAAAATAAACTGATTGGGACCTGTCTCAGACACTTATTTTACAAAAGTATTCACTACTCAGTGAGTCACCGTGATGACAGCTTAACATATATTAATTCATTTAAACCCAAGAACTACCCTATAGGATATGATATGTACAATTGTTAACCCTTAATGTACAGATGAGGAAAATAAATCTTGAGAGATTCATGACTTGCCTGAGGTCACACAGAAAGTAGAGGAGTCAGGAGTTGAATGAGTGGAATTTAAATTCTATGAAGGCATTTGGGAGGCCGGTGCTGGTGGATCACTGGATGTCAGGAGTTTGAGACCAGCCTGGCCAACATGGTGAAACCCTGTCTCTACCAAAAATACAAAAATTATCGAGGCATGGTGGCAGATGCCTGTAATCCCAGCTACTCAGAAAGCTGAGGCAGGAGAATTGCTTGAACCTGGAAGGGGGAGGTTGCAGTGAGCTGAGATCACTCCACTCCACTCCAGCCTGGGTGACAGAGTGAGACACCACCTCCAAAAAATAAAAATAAAAACAAATTCTATGAAGGCAGAGCCATGTCAATGTTTCATCACTGTACACACACGGCCTATACTGACATATATGTCTATATATATATATATAAAAAACATATATAGAGACACTTGCATATGGTTGTCGGGACGACTCCTTTCCCATATTGGCTCAACCTCCAGGTTGGTATCTTTAGCATTAGTTTGAGGAGAGCAAGCTGTAGGCACAAAAGTGAGGAAAAACCCACTATGTAAAAGAGGAGATAATTAAGGTAACATAGGGAGGCCACTCTGTGAGATGGAAATGGAAATAAGCAGGCTGTTTTTTTGATTTGTGGTGGGATCACATGCTGGCTAACATCTCCCTAGAGGATTACTGTGTACAAGACACAGTGCTTTTTAATCCTTATAACAACCCCCATCTTCAACACATCTCTCACTGCTTCCTCTGTTCCAAACTTATCTAATGACAACATATCATTTTCTGAGGATTCTAACTTTTGCATCTGTTATTCTCTTCTACTAGTGCCTTTTTCTACCCCCAAACTGTCCATCAAAGTCTTGCCCAGTTTTCATGAGCCAATTCAAACACTGCCTCTCTGAAGACTTCTCTATTCAGTTCTGAGAACTCTTCTTTCCCACCTTTGTATTCCTACAACATGCTATCACTCATATGACACTTACCTTACTGCACTCCAAGTCTTTCAGTATTTGTGTCATTTCTGCTGCTAGGTTGTGGGTTCCTCAGAGACAGGAACTCTCTCTAATGGATCGTTATGTTTCTGTGGCTTTGGTATATAGTAGGCACTTAATATTTGTTGGATAACACAAAGAGCACCAACCTGTCCTTACTGCCACTGTTGCAAGAGAAGGGCAATAGCCATGGCTAAATCCAGCCAGCCAAATGTCAAATACAATCATAATCCTGATAAAGCCACACTTTTCTGTATTTACTTCATCTAGCAAACCAGCTGATAGCTTAAAATGCACCAAAACAAAGCTCTGAGTGATAATCAACAACTAGTCACCCCAGGCCATGAGTAGTGGCTCACACCTGTAATCCCAGAGGTGAAGGGATCACTTGAGGTCAGGAGTTTGAGATCAGCCTGACCAACATGGTAAAACCCCATCTCTGCTAAAAATACAAAAATTACCTGGGCATGGCGGCACACACCTGTAATCCCAGCTACTTGGGAGGCTGAGGCTCAAGAATCACTTGAGCCTGGGAGGTGGAGGTTGCAGTGAGCCGAAATGGTGCTACTGCACTCCAGCCTGGGTGACAGAGCAAGATTCTGTCACACACACACAATTTTTCATTCCAAGAGGCAATCTTTTATGGCAGACAGCCATAAAATAAGGTGAAGCTTGAAATGCTCTGAAGAATATCTCACATTCCCTATTGCTTCTTAGGTTGTCCCTGGTGTTTTCAGCCAGGGAAGGAAGATGAAGAGAAAGCTTGAGGCCTATAGAAATCTAAGATTTTAATAGGAACTTTAAACAAATAGCAATTGGCAGCTAATACAGAAGCTTGAGGCTAGAAATCTAGATTCCTATGATTTAGAACAGTGATTCGTTTTCAGCAGATGAGCTTTAAAAAAAAGACTGGTGATTCTTAACCATATTTCCACCACAACAAACCAAATTTATAAGACATCCCCCCACAATTGTTTAGGAATGCCACAACAGGGGAATGTAAATACACTAAAATAATTTTTGTTCCCTTCTCTCCCTAATTTAGTCAGTCATAATAACAAAGCAGCATCATGTTAATGACTTAATTCTGATTCCATTGCTTGGTCCTGTCAATTTTATTTCTCATATCCATCTATCTCCCATTACCACCACCCTAATGCAAGTTACCATCACCTCAGACCTGGACAACTATAGAAGCCTCTTCACTGGCCTCCCTGCTTCCATCTTGGCCCTCCTCCAGTCAATTTTCTATATTGAAGCCAGAGAAATTTGGAAAAAGCACTGTGTCTTTCACTCTAAAGTAACCAATGTCCTTGGTATAGCTGCTTAATAAATAGCTACTTGAGACAGTTCAAAGAAACTCTCATTTTGCAAATAACGAAATCCAAGGCCAAACATACTGAAACCTCAATGCTAGAACTGAGGTCAGAATTTGTAATTTATAATTGCACAGATGAGCCTCATTTCAATGGGTCATGCTGCTTCTCCCAAATAGGTATTTCATTTTCTATGTTATCAATGGAAGACAAATAAAATCATTTGAATTGATCTAGAGCCTGCTTTCGGGGCTACCAAATGTTAAAACCAATCACCAGGGGACAAAAGGGATGACAAACTGGACTGAACTGATCCATTAAGGGCCACTCGCACATGGACCCCTTGTGTCCCAGGATCCACCTCCTCTAGCCAACTGAAGGACAGGGGCAGCATTCCAGATCGAGGACTATGTGATCCACATGGGGTGCATAGGATTTCACTGGTTGGATGTGCAGAATTTGTGTCTTCCATGGTTTCCCATGCACCTGCTGAAGAAGGGTGGCGATTCGAGTTTCTGCAGATTCTGCCCACATTTGCCACTCTGGTTTGGCAGTTGGTGACAGCATTTTTCTCCTAGAATCCCTGGTAGCTCCATTTTTCCACTGGTTGGTGACAGTTTGCTGAGGATAAGGCCAATGCTCTTTCTCTATTTTGCTGACCCCAAGAGGCTGAAGATTTTTCCCTGGGAAAGATTCCACGTTTTGGTGGATATGCAAAATGCCCCCAGCATCCTGCCGTAGCACTTGGCAGGCAATGGGCCAGCCTTCTTCAGAGCTGGGAAGCAGCCCCAGGATCACCCTATCTGCAATATTTGAGAGCTTCAGTTTTCTGTTATCTCCAAAGTGTATTTGGCACCGATCTGCCACTCCATTGATCTCAAGGTTATCTCTCAGAGCAACTACAGCATGGGGATTCCACTCACAAGCATGGACAAAAGCAGCACCAGCATGAACTAGGAAGGGCAATGTAAAATAACCAATCCCTGCATAGAGATCCACCAGCACTTCTCCAGCACAGGACAATGATGCCATTCGAAGCTTCTCAGTGATGTTTCCGAAGGAGAACATACACTGGGTCACGTCAAACTTATAGTGGATACCGTTATCCACATGCTCTACCCAACCATGGTCGCCCAGCAGCAGCGTCACTGCTGGCGTTCGAGTGCCATCCGGTGATACCCGCCCTCGTTTTGCCAAACGCTGGACGCCAAGTGCCGAGGCAATGGTCTCCCAGAGTTCCGGCCCCAGATTGTTCCACTGCTTGGCTTGGAAACAGTCTTCACTCAGCAACAAGAGATTCCCATGCCGTTGCCACGATCGGGGCAGATCAGCCTCCAACTCGGCTGACCACTTGACTCCCCGGCCCTCGACCCAGCGACTCACCTCAAGACACAATTTCTGGGCAGGTGAACAACCCTGGGCCCTCTTGGAAGGAACAGGATCCGGGAGCCGCGTCAGCATACAGGCACCGCCCGGGGCCACACGATTCCTCAGCTCCTGCAGGTGCCGCTCTGGAAACGTCTCTCCCAGCACCGGCAGCGCCACCGAGCCGTCCGGCATCTTGTCCACACGGTGCTGTCGATCCAAGAGTTTCTGCTTCTCGAGATATTCCCTGCAGCGCTGGGTAAACCGAGGCTCAGTCACGACTGCAACAACACCCACAGACTTTCCACTTTCTCTCTCCATGTTGCCAACGACCACATTCTCTCCCATCACCTCAGCGACACTCCCTCTTCTCAGAGGCGCCTCACCAGGCTAAATTCCCAGTCGCAATTAGGGAGACTGCGGCGCGGATGACGCCGCGGACGACGCCGCGTCGGTGCCGGAAGTGACGCGCAACAGGCCGGAACTAGATGTATTGATGTGATTGCTGGAGAATGGCGTCTTGTTGTCGCGGAGAAGCTGTAGTCGCCATCTTTTTTGTGGTCAACCATTACTTTATTCAGCCTAGGAGGAAATTTGTAACAGGGAACCTTATGTACTAAAAGACTTAAAATTGGTATTCTTCAGAAACCTATGCACTCTTTTCAGCGCTGCTCATGAATCCAAAGAGAGAAATGAACATAAAATTCTCAGAGCTCTGTGAACCAGAGCAACTCCATCTTAAATAGGAGCTGGGTAAAATGAGGCTCAAACCTATTGGGCTGCATTCCCAGACGGTAAGGCATTCTAAGTCACAGGATAAGACAGGAAGCCAGCACAAAATACAGGTCATAAAGACCTTGAAAGCAGGTTGCATTTAAAGAGAGTACCAAAACCAAAATGACCAGGAGAGTGACCTCTGGTCGCCCTCACTGCTACACTCCCAGTAGCGCCGTGACAGTTTACAAATGCCATGGCAACATCAGGAAGTTACCCTATGTGGTCTAAAAAGGGGAGACATGAATAAGTCACTCCTCATTTTGCATATCATCGAGAAATAACCATAAAATGTGCCACCTGCAGCCCTGGGAGCTGCTCTATGGAGTAGCCATTCTTTTAATCCTTTACTTTCTTTTTTTTTTTTTTTTTGAGACGGAGTTTTGCTCTTGTTACCCAGGCTGGAGTGCAATGGCGCGATCTCGGCTCACCGCAACCTCCGCCTCCTGGGCTCAGGCAATTCTCCTGCCTCAGCCTCCTAAGTAGCTGGGATTACAGGCACGCACCACCATGCCCAGCTAACTTTTTGTATTTTTAGTAGAGACGGGGTTTCACCTTGTTGACCAGGATGGTCTCGATCTCTCGACCTCGTGATCCACCCGCCTCGGCCTCCCAAAGTGCTGGGATTACAGGCTTGAGCCACCGCGCCCGGCCAATCCTTTACTTTCTTAATAAACTTGATTTCACTTTGCATTGCGGACTTGCTCTGAATTCTTTCTTCCGTGAGATCCAAGAATCCTCTGTTGGGGTCTGGATCAGGACTCCTTTTCTGTAACAAAATGATTATCTGAATTTGGAGAAAGCTTTCCCATAGCCTAGAGCTGCTCTCAGTTTAGCATCAGCAACACCTTATTTGCTGAAAGTGAAAAGTCAGATATAGCTTCCTCATTCCCTTTTCATGCAGATATAGCCATCACCATTCCACTGTCCTATGGTCCAAGAAACAACTATTTGAAAGTCAGAAGGAACTGAGCTCCAATAAATCATATCATGGCTCAAAATTGGAATCTTTACTTATAAAATGGAATCTAATCTTCAGAAGTTGCTATAGTGAGTAGAGACATTATAGTGCCTTAGACAATAACCAGTAAAGAGTAGGTACTTAAAAAGATACAAAGTAACAAGTTGGTTAGCTCATAAATACTAAATACCTTTTGAAATGCTTTAAAATACCTTGGTGGCACTAGGTGGTTCATACCTGTAATCCCAGCACTTTGGGAGGCCAAGGTGGGCCATGTCAAGAGATGAGAACATCCTGGCCAACATGGTGAAACCCCATCTCTACTAAAAATACAAAAATTAGCTGGGCGTGATGGCACGCACCTGTAGTTCTATCTACTCGGGAAGCTGAGGCAGGAGAATCACTTGAACCTGGGAGGCAGAGGTTGTAGTGAGCAGAGATTGTGCCACTGCACTCCAGCCTGGGTGACAGAGCAAGACTTCATCGCAAAAACAAGAGAGAATTATAGAAATACTTTGAAATACCTAAAGAAGACAAAAGGGAATTCCCTACTGATTAAATGAAATAGTTGAATATAAGAACTGTAAAGAAATCCTATCACTTCTACTTCACTCCCACTGTCAGTGGAGTCCAAACCAGAGTGACTCCACCTTGAATAAAGGCTGAATAAAGCAAAACCTGCCGGGTTACATTCCCAGAAAGTTAAGTACTCTCCATCATAAGCAGGAGAATAGGGTTTGGAGGCAAGAAACCTAAGGCTGATTCACATTGATTCCTAGAACTAAATCAAAAGAAAAACCCAACTTTCCATGCCTAAGTAACAAAAGGACCAGAGGCTAATTCCCTTGCTTTTCTGCAGGGCAGATGGGAAATTGAAAGTACCTTTGACTGGTTGCAGAAAGCCACCAATCAATCCAAATACCCACTAGAGGTTTCCCATTGGCCACTTGATGTTCACTCCATGCAAATGAAGTAATGACCTGCAATCAGACGTTTGCATAGGAGTGCGACTTTATAACTTCTCTTTGGCCTCTGATTGTAGGCCACTACTTCTTTGCATGGGGTGAACAGCAAGTGACCAATGGGAAACCTCTAGTGAGTATTTGGACCCCAGAAGAGTCTATAAATGGGCCCTTGAATCCTTGTGCAGGGACGGCTTCCATCCTGTGGCGTGTACTTTCATTTTCAATAAATCTGTTTTTGTTGCTTCATTCTTTCCTTGCTTTGTGCGTTTTGTCCAATTCTTTGTTCAAGACACCACGAACCTGGACACCCTCTACCCGTAACAAGACCTTCTGGTTGAAGGAACAGGTTAATGATTCTTACTCACTAAACAAGATCTAGAACTTAAGGAAATGTCCTGATGTCCTGATATCTTGAGAACAGAAAGCATTCTAGTTTAAGAATAGATTTCTCTTTAAAGATAATAATATATTCATAAATTTTTGCCAAAATCAGTAGTTACACAGAGAATAACAGTTCTAATAATCTGTCACAAGTGGATCACAAGCTGTTGTACTAAAGCACATGAAACCATTATTCTTAGCTAGCTATATAATTGTTGGTGTGGGGTCCTCCTCTTGCTTTCTGAGAACACTCTACTCTGTAATAGAGTAGTCTTCAATAAACTTGCTTCTTTCACTGTGCTCTGTGACTGGCTCTGAATTTGCTCCTGCCTGAGATTCAAGAACCTGCTTTTCAGGTCTGGAACAAAATGTCTTTTAATTAACATTTCCTGTGACAACTCCCAAGGACATTACTGAGGTGAGACCTTCAATCTGAAAGAAATAGACTGCGCAGGACCAACTGACTGACTTTGCGTAAGTGGGGGAATACATTTTTTTACCAATGAAGGACAAGGACACTTATCTAAGATTGGGTTTGAGGCCTACTTGGGAGGGTTAAAGGCCCCTCACAGCTGAAAATGGGTTTAGCATGATGTGATGTTAACTATTTTTCACTGTGGATTCGTCCTTCTTGTGCTCTCTGTAAGAGCATTCCAAAAGCTGCCACTTGCCAATTTCCTGATTGCTTTCTATGCTTCACTGCTGCTTTATGAGAGAGACTTCGTTGGACCAGTCCTGAGGTTTATAACTTGCCCTTTCCTTGTTTGCCTTTGGGTTATGGGCCATTTGCCGGTCTGTTCTGGCATGTTGCTAAAAGACATTGGGGACAAGTGGCTCTGCAATATTTACTTTCCCTATATCTAGTCAACTGCAGTGCATTGTTTATTGTTTCTCCTTCTTTGGAAAGAATACTTGAGGCTGGGCGCAGCGGCTCACGCGTGTAATCCTAGAACTTTGGGAGGCCGAGGCAGGCGGGCGGATCACAAGTTCGGGAGTTCAAGACAAGCCCGGCCAGCATGGTGAAACCCTGTCTCTACTACAATTACAAAAATTAGCTGGGCATGGCGGCACGCGCCTGTAGTCCCAGCCACTTGGGAGGCTGAAGCAGGAGACTCGCTTGAATCCAAGAGGCAGAGGTTGCAGTGAGCTGAGATCACACCACTGCACTCCAGTCTGGGTGACAGAGCGAGATTCCTAAAAAAAAAAAAAAAAAAGATTACTTGGAATTTTGTATTTACAAATTTTAAATGAAAAGGTCCACTGTGAAAGATTAAACCTGGCAGCAATTATACCAGTCCCCCATAGGTGAACTGCTCCTGGATGGAAAACCAGAGATTGCTTTCCAGCGGTTCTTTTTCATCTCCTTGCTAATGGAATGACTTTTACTTTTTGTTTACAAATGGCAAGGGCATGTAAATCTTGTCCTGCTTGCCTTAGACATTCCTTTCTAAACATTTTTCATTTCATTTCTTTTGCTGAGTCCTCTATTGCACTCTTTACTTTTGAATGACTGACCCTAAAATCATTTGGTTTCTGTGGTTACTTGGACAGTTTTTTCCTGTGGGTTTAGGGACAGCTTTCATTTATTCTTCTTTATGTGGCTGAATAACAAGGAATGGCCCTATGTGTTCTTGTCCAGAAACAGGGATACATCCCTTGACCCCATTGCATACTTTTTTCTTTTCTTTTTCTTTTCTTTTCTTTTCTTTTTTTTTTTTGTGACAGAGTCTTGCTCTGTTGCCCAGACTGGAGTGTAGTGGTGAAATCTCAGCTCACTGCAACCTCTGCCTCCTGGGTTCAAGCAATTCCCCTGCCTCAGCCTCCTGAATAGCTGGGATTACAGGTGCCCACCACCATGCCTGACTAATTTTTGTATTTTTAGTAGAGATGGGGTTTCACCATGTTGGTCAGGCTGGTTTCAAACTCCTGACCTTGTGATCCACCTCACTCAACCTCCCAAAGTGCTGGGATTACAGGCATGAGCCACTGCTCCTGGCCTCATGACATATTATTCTAACCAATTAATCATGTGGCTTCAAGAAGACCCAGGTGTCTCAGGGCAGTTGTAACAACTGCTCTTCTGGTAGATGTAGACAATAACTTTGGGACAACATCTGGAGGTTTTGACCCCATACCAAGTAGCAGAGGCTCTAGAAGCTAAAGGGCACCAATAGATGAGTAGAGAATAGTTATTAAAGTATCAGGTTTTATTGCAAGGTACTCTTGACATAACTCTTAAAGTGCAGCAGAAGACCTTAAACCTGGCTAGCTAGCTACGTGGGTCTACAGGCATCCTAGATCATTTGCATACACAAGCTATGGAGCAAATTTATTCCAGCTGGTCAGATTTAAAAGATGGGCCTCTAGGGCCAGGTGCAGTGGCTCAC